CCCCAAAACCCCAAAACCCCAAAACCCCAAAACCCCTTATTCCTTCCTACCAGTTGAATATTGAGTCATAGAACTTTACTTCAAGCTTGTAGAGATGATCCTCTTCATCAAAAAGCTCTTTCCCATGAAATTCTCGAGTATGAGGGATCAGTCAATGATCATAACAGCATTCTTTCAAGTAAATATTTTCTTCAGGGAATTTATTCTTTAAATTCTTGAGAGCCATCTTTGCTCTTCCTAAACGATTTTATTTATCAAGTACCATTAAATGATTCTATGAAGCTCTGGAGAGAGATAGACTTAAGTTTGGAGATTTTATGTAACTCGATATAATCATAGTCGAGGACATTCTCTTCTTTATAATCATGGTAGATTTCAAATGTCATTCTAAAATTTAGCACTAACCATACGGGGTATTATCGCCATAATTTTGAGTCATATAATTGCTGATAACTAATTTTCTGATGAATTTTGCAGGATTTTGCTCATCTATTAACTTACGGAAAGACTCATTTAAGCGATGGGAGTCACACAAGCTGCTCAGAAATGATAGCCTAGATAGTTAGATTTATGTCCGAACTTGTCTTCATCAAGGTCAATTGAATCTTTTATTACAACAACTCTTTCTAGGCCAAGTTCTTTTATGGAATTTTCATGAAGTTTTGTATAGAATATCACGTATTCAGACCTATTTAGTTATTGTGAAGCCTTACAATAGAGGTGTTTCTGCAATATCTATGTATTCTAACTGGAGAGTTCCTGTCCTCGTAGACTCATCCTCAGAGTTTGAAGAAGAATAAATGAATCAATCTTCCTGAGGGACCACTTGGAGGATATCTTCATGTTGAAGCTCTTCATATTCTTTACAAGTTTCTATGTCTTTGCAGAATATAGCTTTAATTTTGGTATTGCCTAAATTTGAGGAAGCTGCTTACACCCATTGTAGTTGAATAGTTTATGCACAAAATCTGATTTTTCATGATCGATCTTCAGAATACTTATCTGTAGAGGTTATTAAAAAATTTACACAAAGATCTTCATGTCCTTCTAGTGAGATAGCAACTAAAGTTGGTAATAGAATATACCGAAAATATCAGAGGTTTCTTGCACAAGTTGAGGGGTAAGCTCATATTTCTCCCCACTCAAAGAGCTGTATTTTAAAACAAGGTCTGCACTTTTGTTGGTGGCTTGCATTTGAGTGTTTAAATATTTTTAAATTTACAGGGGTTTTGGGGTTTTGGGGTTTTGGGGG